AAAACAGTATAAAATTTCAAACAATACTTGAAATTATACACAAATACACACACATTTCAACAATTAAATAAGAAAGCACACATTATTTTGTATACTTTTGGATCATTAACTGAAGTAACCTATGCAATGGGCATTAAAACAAATCTTATGAAATATTAAATTTCTCTTACCCAGAACTGAAATTAACCATTAGAAAATATAATATAATATATTAGAAACATATTAATATTTTTTGGATTTTATTTTCTCATTGAGGAGAAAGAAAAATAGGTATATGAAGAAATGCAAATAATTCTATAAAAATTATTTATAACCTTGACAAAAGGAGGAATTTCTGTATTTCCCATTTAATAAGCTGTTTTATTAATCAATTACATAAATACGATATGCTATATTGTTTGGGAACTAAAAATTTCTTAAAATATGAATCAAAATATAACTATATATGAAGTCATTAAACATTACACCAAACTTCTTTCACTACCTGTAATTTGGAAATTGTGCATACATATCTCTGATACGGCAAAAAGCTCCTCTCAATATAAACCCAGCCCATCTAACCTACAGGTCTCATGACCTTCTGTGTTCCAACACCTTGGACTAGCCTCAGTTATTCATGAGTACTTTGTTCCCTCTGGCTTTTGGATTTTGGGGTGTATTTTCTCATCACATGTCTTAAAAAGACTTTAAAGATCTCTGGTTATAGGTGCTAGTATTCAAATATGTTTCAGGCTTCAATATTCAAGCTTATTGTGTTCCTCTTTGCAGTGAGACCAGACCCCCAGGCAAGAATACACCTAACATGAATGTTACCAGTTTTGTGTTTCCAGGCCATTGTGAAAGTACATCTATACAAAATGTGGGGAAGGAGAGGGTTCCCATTCTTGGAGCATAATTCATGGCGTGATCATCCAAGTCATGCCCAATCCCATCTGCAGATTTTTGACAGCAAAGGGAGAAAGTAGAAAGCGTCTGCTGAGCCTCTGTCTGCCTATCCACATGGAAGGTTTTGGCAAATATATACCTGTACTGTGCACCTTACTTTTTGCTTTAACCCTTTCTTGAAGAAGCAGTTCTTGACCCTATAGCCTATATTCAGTTCACATATGTTATGATCTCAGAGAATTCTGTTCTTTCTTTCATAGCAATTTTCAGGAATTGCAATCATATACTTGTAATATTACTTGATAAAGTTGATCTTCCCTGAAGTCTCAAGGGCATGTTAACTCTGAATTTGCACCAAATTTTTGGACACTTGCATTGTTTCTTGCATGCAGTCTTCAATGCACGTGTGCTGACTGGTTAAGATACAAAGCAACTGAAACTCTGGATCCATTGCTGGACCAAATATGAAAGGATACATTCTGCAAAACAGGTTTGAGTTTCTTGTGTCATACAACTACACTGTGGAATACTACCTGTGACAAAAATAAAGAAAATGAACTCATGTACATGCAGCAATTTAAATGGTTCTTAAAGACAAGCTGATTGAAACAAAACAAAAATACAAAAAAATAAGAACAATAACCACAATTGCTTAGATTTTATAAGATTCCAATTAAATAACATTCTTGCAGTGACAAAATTATAGGGATGCAGAATAAGCAAGCAGTTGCCAGGACACATAATGGGAAAGGCAGGATTATGAAGGGATAACATAGGCAATTTCCTTGTTGTGTTGGAACAGTTGCAGGCCCTAAACATGGGGATGTTTAATCTGTACAGGTGATAACATTTTGTAAAGTGACCCCTCTCCCAAAATGAACATAAAATCTGATGAAATCCAAATAATGTTTGTATTTTGGTCAATAGTATTTTATTAATATCAATTTTCTACTTATGACAGTGTATTTCAGCTATGTAAAAATTATTAGAAAAAGATATTATCCTAGTGAGTATCTAGGTGAAGGATACAGAGGAACTTTCTTCACTATTTTCCTACTGTTGGTAAAATTTAATTTATTTCAAAAGAATAACAACGAGATAATGAACTGAATAAAGGCCTCAGATTGTCTTGATTCAGGTGCTTTGAACTATAACAGATAGTCGAGAAATATCAACTTTGTGCTTATATTTTTTCACCTCCTTGGAAGTACAAAAAAATTGTTTCTAATTATTTTCATTCATTCACCTATTAGAAAACTAGTTCCAGTGCTTAGACCAAACCAATTGGGTTCTGGTCTCTTTTTTGTCATTATGATATCACATTCTATATCCAGTCTTTGATGACTTATTGCAACTCAATTCTTATTCCTAGAAAAGCAATATACTTTCACACCTGGATATAATATACTTTTCCCCATATAGCCATAAACACATAGCCATAAAACTGAACTTGGGTAGAATTAATGGAAGTTTCAGTAATGTACTGCACTGTTTTGAACACGTGGCACTCTGCTCCTCTTGGAGTTGACGCTGGTTTCTATCATCTCATACTGTGTTACTTCAAAGAGTTTCACTTTTCTATCAGGCTTCTCACTTCTGAACTCTCAGAAGCTCCAAAATTGAACAGTATCATTAAATTGCTTCCTAAACTCATGTTTTCTATAATAAATTATAGGCTGATGCTACCAGCTTCAAAAGGAATGAATAACAAGGCAAAACTTAAGTTATCCAATGAAGATGGGACAGTCATTTTTCTTTTGTTTTTACTTTGTTTTACTACAAGCAGATGTGTGGGACTCCTAGCACAAAGAAAAAAAAAACCTGTACAACTTTTTCCTAAGATCTAACAGAAACATGTTTTACAGAGGTGTTCCTAATATCAAATAATTTTATCTGACCTGAAATAGGGGTGATAAATTGATAGCATTTTTTATTTGAATGGAATTTGGTATTGTTTTCTTTTAGAGAATCTCCTTTAGTATTTCACCTCACTAAATTTTTATCTCCCCAAATGATATAGTTTTATTGTTTTTCATGTTTTTTTTTCTCAATGTAAGCAATTCTGTGAAGGAAATCAGAGTGTTTTCTCTAACATTTTTTTTTTTACTCTATTCACTTCAGCCGTCACTGAGTGCTATTATGTGTGTCTTGTGCTCTCAGAGGCACCATGAATATGATGGGGCAGAGGTTACTGAAGTCCACTTTCTCATAATGTTCATATCCCAGTGTTTACTTATTTTATTTACAGCTGGAAAAGAGTTCTGTGTTTTAATCTTGGCTTTCTTATATAATTTCAAACTCACACTCAGGAGCCTAACTTTTCTGCACAAGACTTAATCATCTCTGCTGAAGGAACTTGCCTATGTATGAATATTTTACTCAGTGATACAGATTTGGCACTGTGTTGTCATTGAAATGTAGATTAATCTTCCAGAGCAAATAAAGACTTAAAATGGATATTTATGAAGTAATTAAAATTAAGGAGATAGTGTCTGTTGCTAAGCATGTTTAATTTTTACCTAAGTAGCTGTTTAAGACTACAAATGAATTCTTTTAAAAATGAATAACTAAGAGGCTATCCGTGTTGTTAATAATGAATTATAGCTTGTGCTTATATACATAAACATTTATATCATACACATTTTTATTGCTTTATTTTAAAAATACATCTTTGTGATTACCATGCTGTTTCGGGTAGGGTGAGGATCAAAGTTTCAAGACAGAATTTTGTATGAAAGTTTAAAATATTCATCTCCCTTTAAATATCTCCATTCTGTGTTTTGTTCTTGTACTTCACTTAATGTGTTGTATAGTCAAAAATTAGAAAGTCATTTTGAAACATCTATTTCTGTGCTAAAGCACAGAACATCTTGCAGAGTAAGTCCTCAGGAAGCCTACTAGATCTCTGAAGAATGAGACTCAAGATTAGTCACAGAATAAAAATTATCCTTTAATCTCTCAAAAAAAGTTGGGTAACATTGGTAAAATATAATGGAAAATGGTATTGCCAACGCTTCCTTGCTGCTTTGAACTTTATAGAAGTTTTTAACTTTCCATAGCTGTCATATTTAAGCCTAATTGAAAAAAAGAAAATTCAGCAGGATCAAAAAAGTCCTTCATTTACTGTGCTCCAGGGCACTGGTTAAAACTCCCTGTAGATGCACAGCATGCTTCACACTACTCTGTGCAGCTAATCCTGGACTCTCCTGCTGCAGGCACATCACCTTCCTCCACGACAGCAATGCTATCAGAATAAGATCCAGAGCAAATCCCAGCTTCACTGCCTTCTTCCTCTTCCACATAAATTATCCGGCATTTAGTTGAGCACATCTAGGTCTTCCACTTCATACAAACATTTCCACCAGAAAATTCCTTAAAAAAATAATGATACCCAAGTCCTGGAGAAACCCTTATTCTATGAGACCAGAAAACAGATACACCATGTTCTATTTATGATAATTCTTTCAATTGTTAGCTAAAGTTTTCTTCATCTATTGACATAAGTCAACCTTACCTGTGATTTTATTGTTTTAATGCTGACCTTGAAACAACTCTCAATAAATGCATATTTTATTTCAAATATTTAGACACAGTGATCATAAGGCTGTAAGTATGTTGTTCTCTAAACTGGGAGTTAGGAAAATGGACTCTGGTGAAAAGAAGATATGAATTCTGCCTCGGCAGCTTATGAACTATGTGAACATGAGCTAAAAATTTCATGAAAAATATTTTTCCAATACATGAAAGGGACATGTCTACAAAAAGGGGTAACCTTGGCATTAATTCATACTACACAGTTTTCAAAAAAAAAAACCATTTGACATATAATGCATCCTCAATAAATATTACTTATTGCTGGTAGTTTTATTAATCTGGAAACAAACTTCATTAATTCTGAAAATTGTCCTTTATGCTTTGTTAGCCACATTGTACTGACTAGTGTGATATTCTTACTTACCTATGTAGAGAGTAAGGGTCAGGCAAAATCTTCTTGTGCAGTTAATTTGGAACTCTGAATTCATGACTTTGAATTTATTTCTTTTAAATTTAATCTTGTTATTTTAAAACGTAATATTATAGATAGTCATGAACCAAATGTAAATGTGTGAGCATACCTGTTTAGGAATAAAGTCCATTTTACAAAACCAGATGGAGAGCCAGATGTGACCTCTGAATCCCAGTTTACTGACTTCCATTCATGAGAGCTCCCTTTGAAAGTTCTGCCAAAGGACAGAGAAACATCAAATTAATACAGTTTCTACCACTTGAACTGCAAAGATTTTGCCACACCAAGTTTGGATAATATTTTTATAGCAAAATATATTAAATTCTGAATTCCCTAGCAGAGGAATTAACAAATAGAAAATTTATTTCTTGCCAATTAGGAAATATAAGAGAGCCAGAAGTAGTTTGAGGGTTGTTTTAAATTGATAAACAAAAAACTAAACAGGAAATTTCAAATTCACAGTTATGAAGCTAAACTAAGTTTTCAAGTCTATTTGTGTTTGGAACTCCGTGAGATGTGTAGTGCGTGTGCGCGCCACGCGTTTTTCTAGAAAGAGAAGAAAACACACAGTTAGACACTTCCTTACGTTGTAAAGATGTTATTTATTGTCTTTTATTCCTTGGTTCCTACACAATAGAAGTAAAAGCCAAGTAGATCATATACACAGGTATTATTAAGGTCACTATTTAAATTCTCTAATTCACAGATTAGAAACCATCAAAAGCATATAAGCTTTGTTTTCCTTCTGGTCTATATTCCTGTCATAGCAGTGTTTTCCCAAAGTAAACATTAGAAAAATATGTTGCTTATTGTTATATTAACACATAATAAGAAAAAATTAACAAAGTTCATGCCCTTAATTAGCATTTCAAATTGTATGAACGTTCACAAAAATAAATATTTTATTATTCAGTAAATTTTACTTTCACATCTCTATGAACATACTGCTAATTTTATAAGAAGTGTAAAATCATTTCACCTTCTATAAATTCAGATTTTATATTTCTTTTATCAAAATATACATATGAATGTAAATGTGCCTCTGGGGATTTGCTAGTGTTGTAGAAATAGAATTTACTTTTTATTTATTAGCTATTGTAACTGAATAATTATCTCTTCATTTTTTTAGTATTCAGTTGTGATCAGACTGTGATTTTTTTATAACTTTTAAAACATCCTATGACTCACCCACCAAATACCCATGTTTTAATCTTTAGAATCTGTGAATGTTACCTTACATAACAGGGAATTCTTTATAGATGTGATTACATTAAGGGTCTTGAGGAGTTTATCCAGGATTATGGGCACTAGTTGCAATTCCCAGATGCACCCTTATCAGAGAAAAGCAAAGACAGATTCCGCTATACAAACATGGTAGGAGAAGGCAATGACACCATGGAATAAGGGTTAGATGATAGAGCCAAAGCCAAGGGAAGCTCATAGCTACAACATGTTGAAAGTGCATTCCATTCCAGAGCCTCTAGAGGAAATTTAGACCAGCCAATACATCACACTGGTTCAGTGACACTGATTTTGAACCTCTGGCCTACAGAAATGTGAAACAATAAATATTTGCTCTTCTAAATCACCAAACCCATGGTCATTTATTATAGTAATCACAGAAAATTAACACAAGGAGTCACTGAGTTTTTACTAAGTATGCAATACTGCCTCTGTTCTTGATAGCATAAAAGAAATCTGAAAACTTGTTTACTGTCTTTAATATGTTTGCAACCTTGTAGAATATGTAGGGGTATGGTTAAGCAAGGTGGTCTTCCACGGGCCCTGAACATCTGAAAGGTTTTTACTTATTCTAAGAATTTAAGGTCCTGTTTACAGTTTAACCAATCATTTCTTAGGGTTGTGTTTGCAGCAAGCAACCTTGAAATATGAGGTCAGTGTCCTCTCAAGACAAAGGGCTGGGAAATTTTTTTAAAAAGGTGTATTTTTCTAACTCAGTATTCCTCAGCTACAGCACTAATCCATTGTTTGCACAACATCTACCTGAGGTCCTCTGCATTGCCTTTGTGGAACTTGCAGTTTAAGAGTAACTGACACACAAGCATAAGATTGATGCTGTGTTCTATGCTGTTAGCAATAAATTTCTTTGTCGCTGACCCAAGTGTCTCATGTCTTCTGACAGCATCCATAAAGAATAACAAATATAGTAGCTTGTTTAAGAATGTATTGGGGTTATTTAGAAATGGGCTAGAAATACTCACAGGACTCAGCATATAGTTGCACTCACGGATAAGGTTTTTGTTACACTGAAAGGATACACAGTTGAGCAAGGGAAGGAGACACAGGCAGAGTAGAGAATTTCACACATAAGTCTCCTTATGCGTATACCTTTGTCCAACAATAAGATGCACAAACATACGTACAATGTTTCTACCCAAGAAAGCTCAAGGGGACTTAGCACCTAAGATTTTGTTGGTGGCTAGTCACATTGATACCCTTTGCCTAAAATGTACCCAAATTCCAAATTCCCAGAATGACAGCAAGTATTCATTATAAATCACAGTGTTTGTACAAACTATGTAGGCACAATGAATCACCCTTATCAGTAAAGGAATAGATCAAGGGCCAAATTTCCTGATGTCAGCCAAGGCCAATCTTATAAACTGGCTCTTATAAACAAGGTTGTCTCTCACTTGTTATAGTCATTCATTTCTTCACCGAAAGCTAAAATAAAACCTTAGACTCTGAGATGTTAACCATGAAACTTTACCATAATGCATGACATGACATTATATGTTAAACATCCAATCAATGCACAAATTGCTACTGCCAAAGGCATGGAAATAAGGATGATATGAATATTGACATGGATATTTTTATGGAGAATCTAAAACTTCAGTTGAACTTTAAAAGGCAAGAAAAGAGATAGGTATTATAAAATATGTGCTTTTTATTTAGGGTACTAACAAAAATCAGCTTTGAAGGAAATTGTATTATTCCTATAATGAGGATTAGGCAATGAAACTATTTCCATTGAGAGAAAGGGTTTGTCCCTTAGAGATCATAAATGAGCTAAAACTTAAATCAGGATGACTCAGAGAGTAGTGGCATTTTTCCAAAGTAAATGGAGATACTTACTGTTTGGAGAGTATAATCTTTCTGAATATGGCATTATTGACAAGTAAAATTCATAATAGTTTTATTCTACTTTTAAAATGAAGTGCTAAATTATAGGTGGTAAACAGAGAAATATTAACTTTTAGAAAGGAATATCCAAATTTCCTATTAAAATTCCAGATGAGAAACTCAGACACTGAAGTCAGAAACTTATATCATTAAAGCATATTTTAGCTTTCATACTACTGATAGGGGCTGGAATCACTGTATATAAGCCACTTTTAATTTTTCATACATCTAGCTCAGTAAGAGGAAATGAAAACATGAGAGAAATGAAGTGATTAAGGGATGTCGCTACAGCTCCTTACAACTTTTTCATCCACATTCATTCTGAAGGAATTTTTTATACTTCTGAGATTTGTATTTTCTTCTCTTGATGAAAAATTGTGATTACATATCTTCTAGGATAAATATTGAATCCTTTCAGTTGAATCCTTTTCAATTCACATAGTAATTCTCAAATTTAAAAAATTAAATAGTTTTCCTCCAGCCTAACCAGGAAGAAACCTGCGGTGGTTCAGCTTCTTCAGGTAAAGTAAATCTTTCTCTGAGCTATGAAGCTTTCATTTCTAATTGTTTTCATGTTAATCATATTAAATATTCTTCTTCAAAAAATTCAGCACAATGGTCTTTTTCTTGTATCTTATAAAACTTTCACACTTGTCTCTAAGATTTTTAATATTATGTAATCCACACAGGAACCAACGTTGTTTTTGTTTGCGTGTTGCCTTCAGGTCTCTATCCTGATCAAAGCCTTCATGTGGCTTCTCTTCTCACTCAGAATCAGATCCTCAAGAACAATAAGGACCAGGGTGAGCTGAGTCTTGTTTCTACTTTTGTCTCATTCTCTCCTACTATCTAGACCTCTCTCTCTTCAGAGCATTGTGACCTCTAGAATATTCCAGGAATTTTCCCTCTTGTCTTACTATCCCCATTCTCTGGAAGATTCTTACCCTAAATGTCTGAATTCAAAAGTCTCATCAATTATCTGATCAGGGAAGCTGTCTAATAGATTGATACTTCTTTTCCTGTCTTCTTAGCCTATTATTTGTCTGGTCATAGAACTGATATAGTACAAATATATTTATTTTACCCCTGCCCACACATTAAAATTTAAGCTTGACAGCTCCATGCAAGCAAGCATTTGGAGTTTGTTATTTCTTTATTCCTTGGTGGCCAGAAGAAGGGCTAGAGTATGATAGACATAAATATACATTGAATAAATGAATAAAGAAATGGATGGATGGATCCATGTGATTAAAATTTATCTTTTAAAATATCCTGTGGCTTCCTCCTTCAATAAATCTTTTTGACATCATCTTTTGTTCTTTCTCTTTTTTTATCACTTTCCACATTACATCCCCTTTGCTTTCTGATTTCTAGGACTTGCATTCATCTATATTCAAATCTCTTTTTTTTTTTAATGCTGCCATCTTTTCCAAATGTTGAATCCACTTTTTCTATTTTCTTTTCCACAGGGATCTTAAGTTATTCTGAAGAAGGTTGTCCTTTATTTCTCAGCATTCAACACATATATTAAATACCCAGCTAGACACACTCACTTTGTTAGATATGCTAAAGGATTCAAACATATGTAATTATTTGTTTTGTAGGAAACATTTAAAACATGAGAATATCTTGAAGTATTTCTGTGGTAAAATGATCAATAATCTGTCTTGAATATCAGTTCATGTTGAATGGACTATTAATTAACTTGCAAGCATGAAATGAGATGTCATTTACTGTGAATTGCTGATAGTATTGCCTTAATTTCCCAGGGTTTTATTTCACCTATTGTATTCCCAGCTAGTATACCATTTTTTAAAATAAATGACTAAAATACCAAATGTAATTTAAATAATTTATCTCAGACTACAAAAAATATTTTTAATAACTGCTACATTGGTTATTGAAATCTGTGGATATTTCAATAACAAATTATTTGATAATTTATTACAGAATTTTAATGTAATAAAACTTGTTTGAAAAAGTGTTGCAAAGATGAAATAAGGAAGAAGAATAAGTGAGGCTTACAATATTATTTAACACATCCCAGGGCTATTAACAGGGACCAAATTCTAAAAACACTTGAAGTCATAGTAGAGGACATAGATGAGGGAATCAGTCAAAT